CTTGCTTCCAAGAAACTAGAAATGATGGACACATAATCACAAAAAAGAAAAGAGCAGTATGCCTGTAGCTCGTTTTTCGCACTCCTTGGAGGGATTTAGTCTTCTTGGCTGCGATTCTCTACAGTTTGGACTCCCGTGGTTCTGAACCTAGTTTCACGAGTGCAATGTGAAACAAAAGAAAATGAGAGTCTAAATCTGGAAAATCCCAGAAAAATCCACTAATCGCAAGAGATGCCAAAAATGAACTACATTGTCAGGTTTCAGAGTCACCACCTAATATTTTTGAAAAAATTAGGAAACCCATGACACGTGCCAAAGGCCACTTTGTTCGTCATAAACAAAGGTGCTTCGCTTCGGGAATTTAGGAACGAGAGGAAAAGGTCATGAATTGAGCATCGCACTCACCCGATCAAAGATCAGCCTTTACTAAGTCATAATGTAATTCTTATTAACATTATGCTCATGTTCTAATTTATTAATATGCTAACATTATTATGTGAGGAAAGCAAGCATAGACCACGTCACTTACTTTAGAATGCTTTGATTCCATGCTTTGGAAAGAGTTTTCAAATACATGCAACTTAAAAAAAAGAGCTCATATGTACAACAATCAAAGCCATTCCAATTTAAGCAAAACAATCTCCATCCACAGACATTCATAAAGATATTTCAAGTAAGCAAGTAGCCTCATGGTAATATGCTAGCTATGGTAAAACACACACGAATAATATGCTAAAGTAAAAATGCTAGCCTAGTACTCATTCGTGACAAGCCAAAGAAAAAGAAATAATTAGAAAAAATGCATGATCCTAATATGCAAAATGGCTAATGCAACACATACAATAATGCAACTAATAAATTCGACTACTAACATGACAAGTGAAGCAACCCAAAACACGAGGTAGCACACATAATCATTTAGAAAGTAGTAAGAGCACTATATATGATGAGCCGAACTTTAGTGCGTGCTAAAATGGATGCGAGGCATGGGAATGATGGAAACGAAAACATGATGCTATAAATAATGATAATAAGCATTTAAATAAAAAGGAGAAAGAAATTGGAGTTGGAAGACGTACATCGAGTGTTACAAATTTGCCCTCTTACACGAGGGTCCAAATGTCTTAATTAACTAATTATTATATCATCGAATGAATAATCATCTAATTTATTACATTCACAAATATAACAACAGTAAATATTAAAAATGGACATGAGCCACATGTGCACTGATGAGAACATCCTTCAGAAACTGCTCTTGTCTACCTTCGGGAGAACTACTCTGGTTTACCCTCAGCCATTACTCTATTTGTTCACTTTGAGGCCCGGTCAGCCCATAATGAGGCCTGGCCGGTTCTAATAAAATACAACCATGCTTCATTTTTCAGCAAAAAACCTGCTTTGTGTACTGAGGTAAAAATAGTGCAGACAAAGTATTTCCAGAAAGTGTTTATCCTTTCTACCCTTTCTTATTATGAAGATACTCAAGAGAGGAATAGATTCACTTCTCAAATCATCAACCATCGCAAGGTTGTTGCATGATGATCTTAGAAGCAATAGGAAAAGAATTTACAAAACATAAAGCAAAATGAGGCCATTCTTCTTACCTTCTCCCTATTATAGAGTTATTTCAAGGAAGAGGTAAACATGTTTCACAAACCATCAAACATCACAAGATAGTATGTGATGATCATAGAAGCAACTAAGATAAAAATAAAAAATAAAAAGTAATTAAAAATAATTGAAAAAAACTATAACAATTCAAAGGTTGTTGTAAACTCTTCTCCCTAATCATGGAATAAAGATGAGACATCCATTTTCAAGCTTCAAAGTGGAACTAGAAAAGAGTTTTCAACACTTTTCGATAAAGAGCTTTATATGAGTAACTATAGGAATAAGAGAGAAACTTAAAAAATCCACTTAATTATCCAAGCTTAAACACACAACTCGTCAAAGTTGTTGACAATTCCTCTTTTATTCATGGAATAAGGATGAGACACCCATTTTCATGTTTCGAAAATGATCGAAAAGAGAGTTTTTCAACACTTTGGCACGGAAGCTATCACCTAGCTTCGAGGTAAACAACAATAATATGAAAGCGAAAGATTTACAGTTAGTTAATCGAACTTGTGGTAGGGTGGCTAAATCTAAACCTCCCATGACCACAAGGTTCCAATATACTTAAGAAAAACTATAAAAATAAAAGAAAAGCTATCAACTCAAACGGATTGGCGGCTACGTCCTAAACACACCAAATCCATAAAAACTTACAACAATACAATTATAATATTAAAAGCATAAATTAACATAAACAGCCCACACACACCACACACACGCACACACACACACACAAGTGCTAAAACTAATAGAAAGCAAGGGGAAAAAGTAAAAAAGAAGCTATCGGTAATAATTAGTAATCAAGCCTAAGAAATGGTGGCTAATCCTTCCACTTTTTGTAACTTTTAATCACATATCTTAGCCCTGAAAACAACTCAAAAATAGTATGTAAAACAAGAAAAACAAAGGGAGAGAGTAAAAGAGAAGTAGAGAAAAAGATGCAAAGATATACCTCTTGAGAAGAGAGATAACTTCTTAGTTATCAAACTGCAATCCTAACACCCTTAAGTATCTTAAATATAGCTTGAAACTTTAGTAAAAAGCTTTAAGAACAAACTCTAGTAGTATATGTATTGTGTATCTATAGCTAAAGGTTATATGGAAGTCAAGGAAGCTTTTGTAAAGAAGGGGAGCCTTTTTAGCTTTCAATAACCTTAAAAGCCTTTGGAAAATTTTTCTTACTCTAAATTCTAAAAGGAGAGGGTCTATTTATAGAATTTGAAATGGCTAGTTGGCGGAATCTGGCCAGATATTCTGTCTATCACCAATGAGACCTAGAAGGGCCACAAAACCCATGGCTGGCCCAAATGACCCACGGTCGGGCCTAAAAGTTCCTCCTAGCGTCTTATTGCATAGTTGCTGCAGGTTTGGAGAAATGTTTAAAAATAGGGTTTTAAGGTCTAAAACATTTTGGTCAAAATAAAGTGTAAGGTTGGGATTTAAAACTTGAATCCAAACTTCTTTACTAAGTGTTTCAAAAGACTGCACAGTGTAACTTTCATCATCGGGCATTCGGAATGAAACACCTAAGTCTCGGGAGCGATCAAAATAGGGTGTCTACAATACCACAGGAGATGTGCATTCTAAATATTAGCAACATACAGAACCCATAAAAGACAATCTAAATTTACATAAAGCACTTCTCATATAAGATTGATGCAAGAACGAAATTCAACCATTTCAATATTTGATTGTGTGGTGGCAAGCACTTCTTGATCTAATTTTTATTAACCAATATGATATCAAAATTAGACCTTTACTGTGAATTAGGTATTGCAAATTGGTATACACATACTTTTGCAATTGTTTATCAAAAATTTAAAGGTTATTCTTTTTTCAAATGCATTCCATTATATTAGGAATGAACAACTAAAGTCTAAAGTATAACATGCCAATAAAGACTTGAATACTTGTTAAACATGTAAATTACAAATAATTGTTGAATTTTGGCTCATTATCCACTCCTAAATTAGTTTGGATATGCACTGTTCTCTTTCGTATGGACTAGGATTGTGAGAATACATATTTGACTTCGTTTAGATGTTTCCTTATTAATTTTGGATTGGATTATTATGAAATCAAATTAATTTGGAAACTAGAATCCCATTCTTTTGAGGCTTGGATTTTGGGTAGGATTTCTCTCCTATAAATATGGGTGGGTTCTCTCATAATTCTAATGTTGGAATACAACTTGGGTTTGATAAGAGATTGAAAGAACTTGATATTGAGTTTGGTGAGTTTGGTTATTTCTAGTGTTTCTTTTGCCACCATTGTAGCTCTTTGGAGCATTTGTTTTATTTGTTCTTAGTGGAATTCGTTTTGTTCATAGATGTAGGCTTTGGTTGAACCACGTAATTCTTTGATTTGTGAGTTTGATTGTTTGATTGTCCCTTTTTCGAAATTCATTTATTTTGATTGGTTCTTCATATTCATAATTATCATAAATCTTGGCGTAGTGGGTTTTCCGGGGGCTCTCTGCAGAACAATTCCATCATACGTAGTTCCTAAATAACAACAAAGAAATATTTTCTAAAAGAACTGTAATTTCATGTCATAAATGCAAACAAGATCACTTATCAAGATCATCAACTGCTTTTTGGATGCCGAGAACATAGCATTGAAAATGAAAACAATAAAAAAAAAAGACAAATATAAGGCGTGAAACACCAAAATAATTCACTCTCTTCTTTTCCATCTTCTCCTCCATAGCTCAAGCAGTAGGGTATCAATAGAAAGGGCATAATCAATAACTGATAACCTCTAGCTTAAAGTTCTCTTCTTTTCCATCATCTTCTCTATAGCTCAAGCTAAGTGCATCAACAGAAATGGCGTATCAATAATTGATAATCTCTAGCTCAAACTTGGCATCACCCAAATTGGACAAGAATAATAACTAGGGTAATCCGAACCAAAGAAAAAGGGTTCAACAGTTCCATCTACCATACAATACATGCCAACATCACGTCCAATAAAACTCTCATTGTACGACCACCATTGTTCCACTGTATCAGTAATAAAATAAATTTTGTTGCATTCGTAATTAAAAATATTGGATGAAGAAACAGACATAGAATAGTTGTCTCCAACAAATAATGCCATATTACTCAAGTCCTCAAGCTTTGTCCACTCTCTCATACTCAAATCAAACTTGTAAACTTCAAACTGTGTCAAACTAGGATACCCAGAAAGCGTGACATATTCATAGCGGTAAGCCATCAAAAGATCCCCTGATGATTCCACCAAATATAATTTCTCCCATGCCAATTGATGTGGTGGTGGAGCAATATATAGCACTGTTGGAGGCCCAGGGGCATCGATGTCAATAACCACAAGATTTCCCACGTAACAAAGTGCAAAAATTTGATCATTAAAGAGCACAACATCTATGAATCTAAAATAGCTTCGACATTAACCCAAGAACTGTATCCTGGCCTTGAAAAAGCTAAATCTTGATGAGGACCATAAATAACCATAACCAGAAATTCTTCTTCGATTGTATGCGATTCATTTGACTTCTTAATTATAATTGCTTTGTCTATGAATTTATACCATGCACTATGAAAATCAAATTGGCTATCAAATGTAGACTGTGGTGGGAGATTGATACAAGCCCTAGAAAAAGGGTTCAAAAGATGAATTTCAAGATCACTTCCTATGATAACAATCCATCCATGAGGTGACCCCCAACACCGCCTACCACGAGCTTCAGGTAGTTCTAATTCATAAACCTTGTTCTTATATAAACTAAAGAAACTCCTGATGTCACTGTTTTCATTATCGGAGAGCATTAACCATGGAATCTGAGGACCGGGAGTCCAGCTTTTGGTCAAATAAAATGATCTCCATGAGTGACACACAAAAGAAAATGAAAGAAAATCTTCAACAGCATGCAATCTAATTGCAATCAGCCGAATAATATCGTATGGAAGTTGGGAACAGTCAACCATCATCAATTTCTGACAAAAGAAATGCAATAGAATTAAGTTCATGATAAGTTGATTTTGTTCAATCATCATTTGAAAACCAATACAACTATGAGTTTCAAATAAATTGTATAAGGAATACTGTGAAAATTCCATAAAATGAAATCATATTCTATCGTTTTGTTGTCAATGGAAGTCAACGCACAAAGATAATAATGCAAACACCAACATTGCTAAATTAACTATCATTCGTTCTATACTCAATTAAATAAATTGATTACCTAATCAACTGTATCGAATCAAAAACTCATTTCGTCTTCGAATTTCAATCTTCCCTTTCATTACCTCTTGGTTTTCTAAAACTACTCACGAAATGTCTTTTCTATTAAGACTGTGTTTGGAGCATGGATTTAGATAGAGATCTGAACAGGAAATGAGAAAATGTATTTGAAATATTAGTGAAACGTAATTATATTTTATTCATATTTTACCTACCATTTCTATTTCCCTTCCTAATATCTATCCAAATCCATCATCCAAACACAGCCTATAGAAAAAAATAAAAAATAAAAATAAATAAATAAATAAATAGAGAGAATAGCTTTAAAAATTAACCCAACTTTTTGCAATAATGTGCACAAATCTCTCTCTAAGTTCTAACCCAATCCAAACCCCTTTTGGGTTGTTTCATATGTTTTCCATCCACCAACTCAACACTGAAGAGCTAGAAAGCTAAAAATCCAACATTTCAAAAGTCTTTGTAAGTTTCTCATTCAATTTGCGACATATCCTTTTATTTATTTGTTTCTTTCTACAAAAAGCTTGACAGCATCTGACTACAAGAAAACAAGACAAAACATAACAAATACCAGAGCGATAACATCCCAACTCCATATGAACACAGTATTACTATTAGATAGTTTGATAAACATTGTCGATTCCATTTCCTAATAGCTTAAACTTTTGAAAAAATTAGTATCAAAGTTCTAGTTGCGAGAAGTCTTAAATTCAAGTCTCACTGTTAACATTTGGTATTTTGTCCCCATTTTGTTTCTTTCACTCTATTTGGTGGTTCTCCACATGCAAGACGAGGTTATACGTGAGGGAGGGTGTTAGATAGGTTGATATACATTGTTGAACTCATTTCCTAGCAGTTTAGGCTTTTGAAAAAATTAATGACTTAACAATTACTATTCAAAGTCTTGTTTTTTCTTCTTTTTTTTTTTTAACCGATGCACACAAAGAATTTTTTTTTTTTTTTTTTTTAACCAATGCACACAAAGAATATTTTGTTATTAATGACTAAGACATTGAGGAATTGTTCATACATAAAATCATAAGGTCTTTTCCACATAAAAAGCAAATATTTTGTTAAATAAAAAACTCCATTAGGTAGAGCATTTAGTTTGCGCATAATCTTAGTGTCCAAAAGCAAGAAGTGACATCGCATAAATTAGCAACAAACAAAATTTTGCCTTTTTTTTTTTTTTTAAATATTTTATTGCAAGACCAACAACTTCATTAATGAAATTATTTTGCAACAACAATCTGTAACCAAGAAATTCAAAATCATAATTTCCTGAAAACATATCTTATGAATACAAAGAAAACAGAAAATGCATCCCAGCAATATTTCACACAATTGACAATAAAATTTTAACCCCTAGATTTTTCAATCATGCCAAACCTTTCAATTCTTCGGATTTGAAGACAAAAAATTAGAGCCAATATGGTATGCCCCGAAATTTTTCAATTGTATATTGATCTCAAATGGGTTTCATTATACTGCAGAAATTTCAAGTGGTTAAAAAGTCTATTTCCCAAATACTACCTTGTTTGATTTTCAAACTCAACAATTTTTATTTTTATTTTTATTTTTTATCTAGGTGAACTTTTTTAGACACAACTAATCTATATACACTTAAAAAGTAAAATATTTACTATTGGAAAAAAAAAATTTAACTAAAGACAAAATATAACCCATGCTGCCTTTGCGAATTCTGGGTGGTGTGGTGTGGTGTGGTGTGGTGTTCTGTTCACTTCTATATTCTTGACAACTTCCCTATTTTTTAATTCACAACACGTTGTCTCCTCATTTTAATGTGTGATTTCTGGGTTGAGTTTATTATGTGATGCAGATGAGATTTGAAGGGATCCATATATTATTATTTTAAAATTATTAATTAATTAATAATATTTTATTTAGTATAGAATAGTTTAGAATTAATTTCCTTGTTTTACAAGAATTTCAATTTATTTTTTCTGTTTTCTTGTATCTAATACTTGCAAGTATTAGTCTAGTATAAATATGATTGGAAGTCTTAGAGCTATTCAATTTATGTTTGATTAATAAAATCTAAAAGTTTCTTAATATTAGAGTATTTTTAGTTTAGATTTGTTCGTGATTTAATCTGATTGTTTACAATCTTTTCGATACGCTTCTTTATAGCAGGATGCAAATTCTAAGTTAAATAAAAAAAAATAAAAAGAAAATTTGATGATAAATTCATATTCCCACTCTTATAAGTCATTAAGGACAAAGTCCGGATCCTCTGCCATGATCCTACGGTATCCCAAAACGATGTCGTTTTGAGAGCAAAAACAAAAACAAAAGAAAGAAAGAAAGAAAGAACAGATAGAGAAGAAGACCCCCTCATTCTTTTTCGGTTAAACTACCGGTGCGCCACCACTTTGCCCCTTCTTCGACGATTGGTGTAAATGTGCAATGATGGTGGCTGCTATTTTTGGAATAACTTCAACAACAGACCCACAAAACCCCCAAAACCCCTTCACAAGATTCAACCCAACAACAAATCAACTCTAGAAGACTTCCATTATTGCCCTTTGGAAGAGACAACAATGAAGGTCCCGAAAGACCCAAATCAAAGCAAGTTTCTTCTAGATGCATGTCCCCTTCTTCTTTAACCCCCTAGAAGATACCCATTTCCTCTAGTTTCTAAAAATTCGACTCATCTGTCGAACTCTATTCGACAAACTGTTGATTTAAAAAAATAAAATAAAATAAAAAATTGAAAAAATGTTTCCTTCCCATCTCTCCTCGACCAGTTGCTTCGAATTCGCCACCTAATCTCCACCTCTAGAAGGAGTACTAGGCCTTTTTCATTTCGGCGTACCCTTCCTCACATTACTCAAATTCAACTTCAAATTCTCCACCTTAGTCTTGCTAATCGACAGCAAAAATGCTTCCCCTTGAAACGAAACTGACAAGCTCCGAATAGAAGTCACCAGAAGCTTCGTCGCCGCCAATACTTCATTGACCAATCTTCCCGATCAGAAGAAGAATGAGGGTGAGTGGGTTTGCACGGGAGGTAACCTTGCTGTTGCAGAGTCACCGTCGCCCTCGTAATCCTCCATTTTGCCTCTCTTTGTTCTTGCTTCGATGGGCTAGGGTTTCTTAACGAAAAATTCTTCGGACCCCACTGGGGGTCGACCCCCAGTGAGGTGGCGCTCCGTGATTGGGCCAAAAAAAACTTCTTTTTTTTTTTTGTAAGTTTCAGCCAGTGGGGGCTCGACACCTCACTGGGGGTGCGACCCCCACTGGGGGTCTGTAGCAAAATTGGTTTCTCAACAATGACAGAGAAAGGAAAAGAGTGGGAAAGAAGAAAAGAGAAAAAAAAAATTCAAAATGTCGTCGTTTTGGCCACCATTGCAAGGACCATTACAGGCTACCATAGTACAGGATCCTGACTCTTGTAGTGAAACTATTTGGGTCATAAGGATATTTGTTGGAAATTTGTTAGTCAAGAGGACATTTGTTTGTCAGAAAGAAATAACCATCTATTTGCTGAATTTTTTATTTTAACCTATCTATTCAAATCTTTTTTTCACTTGTTCAATTTTTTGAACTCATTTGTTTAAATTTGTATTTATCTATTGAAATTTACCAAATTTATTTTTCCTATCTGTGGAAATTTACTAAGCTTTTTTTCCCTGTATGTTGAAATTCACCAAGTCTATTTTTTTCTATCTATTGAAATTTACCAAACAATCTATATGTTGAAATTCACCAAGCATATTTTCTTATCTGTTCTAATTTCTCTTTTCCATCTGTTAAAATTTTTTTTCTATTTGTTCAAATTCTCATATACATACACAGATATATAAAGAGATGGGTATATCTATTTAAATTTTTTTAACATATCTTCAACTTTTTGTATGTGTTCAATTGCAATTTGTTTTTCAACAACGACAACAACAACGAAGAAATTAAAAAGCTCTAGAGCCTATTGAAACAACCAAACTTGTGCATACCCAGTAATCATCGTACCCCATGAAATCTCATTCTTCTCTTGCATTTTATCGAACAACTCTCGTACAACCACAACTTGTCTAGGCTTCCCATCATTGCTGCAAATGACAGATATGTTTGTTGATTAGAGTCTCTTTCTCTCTGAAAGGAATTTAGTGTTGCTGCCTCATCAAAGATGCCAACTTCATGTCGATCGACCTAGTTCGCTCCATGGAGAGAGTCATTCAAGTTCGATCGCTTTGACATTTATTATCTCAAAGTGAAATATTCGGCTGAGAAGTTCGTCGTCATTCAGTTTGGTGTCTGTTTCTTCCATTGAGACTCTTCCAAGAAATCTTTCACCACACTGAGGAAGCACGTGGATCTCATCGCCGTCGACGTACTCTACTAGGTAGATCAAGCACTCGGTTGCTCTCCAAGCTTGGCATTGGTGGCAGAGAGTTGTAGGTGAGCTTCATATCTTCTTATAATGATGGTCATGGCAACCATGTTATCATTTGCAAGAGCTTCAACACAATCTAGATCAACCTCCTAATCATTTTCTGGTATGAGGTCGAAATGTCATATATCAAGATTCGAAAATGCAGCAGAAGCTGCATACTATTGATATCTATGGTTTCTAGAGAGAGAGAGAGAAATGGATTTGAGACAGTGGGTGTGAAACAAGGATGAAAGACAAAAGTGAAGTTAATTTGAACAGATAGAGAGAGAAAGATAGATGTAAGAGAGAGAGAGAGAGAAAGAGATGGGTTTGAGTATGGAGAGAGTTTAATTTGAATCGATAGACACGCCTAAATCTAGGAATGTAAAAATGGACCGCAGCCCGTGGAAGGCCCGAAGTCCGCCCTTTGCTTGGAGTAGGCCTGGCCCGATTAGGCCTTGCTAGGTCCGAGCTCGAGCCCAACCCAGGACCATGGGCCTGGACTATCATTTTGAAGCCCAGCCCATCGACCCGCTCAAGACCCACTTATAACCCGAGGCCCAGTGTCATTTTTTATGACAAAATAAAGAAAAATAATAAAAAATGTTCAAACCGGCCCAGGCCCACCGACCCGACTCACCCAAGGCCGGAATACCCCCTGGGCCTAGGCTTAATTTTTTGGCCCGTTGGTGTCACGACCCAAACCCGAGATTGCCGAAGGCCTGCTTAACAGTAATACAGTAATACAGTAATACAGAGTACAGGGGCTGGCGGAAGCCAACACAGTAAATAAATAATGTTCAATGAGCTGTGACAGTCTGTATGCAAAAGGACTTTTCATTCAAATATATATACAGTCGGACAAAACAGTATATACATATATACAATCACTCAGTTCAGGGACCTAATCCCTATTAAACAGTACAGTACAGTAAACAAAACAGTTACAGAGACAGAAGGGGGAACTAAAACACCTCTAAGCCATAACTTGATGGGCTCGGAACCTCGCAGTGAGGCACAGTGGTTGGCTTGACAAAAACTGGAGCTTACCCCGACGCTTCTAACCACGGTCTGGTGCATGTACACCTACACATATATATGAGCAGTGAGCTAAAGCCCAGTGAATAACACAATGCGTAAAGGGGTTAAGAATGGATGTCCTTACAGTAATGAAAACAGTTCATTAAAACAGTATTTCGGTCGTTCAGTCAGTACAGTCATATGTGGTATATCCATTAGCATAACAGTACAGT